AAGTAAAGGCTGAAGACTAAGCTGGTGGAGTTTCGACCTTCCCACGCCCTGGAGCTGTCCCACTCTTGGCAGAGCTCTCTGAGGGCGGGCACTGCTCGCAGAGCCCCACAGAGTGCGCTCGGGGAGGCTCTCAGCAAGACTCTGCTGACAAAACTTACACCATGCTGGTGACTGCCACCACAGCCACAACCTCAGCTCTTAACCCTTCCAGCTGAAGACCCCTGAGGTGAGAACAGGATCTGGCAGAAGCAAAATCTAGCAAGGTGGCTTATTCCCACCTAACCTAGAAACACTCTAATTTGCTTCACATGATGCTATCCTTCCTTTAAAAATATCCAGTTACACTTCCAAGAAAGGAAAGCAAGGTTACAGATTTGGAAGTTGTTTAAGGCACCAGGAGGTACCTACCCATTATTCTCAGGCAAGATGCTCATGATTCCAAACCCAGATTTGCACCTGCCGGCTTCAGTCACTTGCTGACACCTGAGACGCAGCTCAAACTAGGCTTTCTCCATCACAAACTGAAGATCTCTAATTTTCACTCTCATACAAAAAGTCATTAAAAAGACCACAGATTGAAGCACTGGAGAGAAAAGGCATGGTAACAGCAGTAACAACTATATAAAAATAACTTTTCTAGATATTTCTGCTCGGGTCTAGATCAAAACTAAAATTGAGCTGTCATGAGCTACAATCTAATCCTTTGGAGAGCAGCAGCAGCCGAATAGCACCAGGGCTGCACAAAACATTCTGGTGCTACTGAAACCCAATGCAAGGAAGAAAAAAAAAAGAAAGAAAGAAAAGAAAATGGCATTCTGTGATGGATATTCATGAAGCACTCATCCTAATTTAAAGGAAAACAAGTTTAGAGTTCTTACTGCATTAATTCATGTGAATCTGAAGGAACATTTTTATCCAAACTGTTACATTTCCGACCAAGGCGTTAACATTCTCCAGGTCTGCTTGGATACACTAATTCTGAGAGGGTGAGATTTCTTAGTCAAAGTGAAACATCAGAAGCTGCTTCTGAGCTGTGGAAACAGGAGAGGAATGGCCTCTTTAACTTCACTAGCGATGGTAAGGACCAGCAGTTATTGAGCTCTTACTGTGTACATGGTGCTAAGTAAGCTCTGTACTTCCTTACAACCACTATGAGATAGTTGTTGCAGCGATCCCCGGTCTACAGCTGACAGAGACTAAGGTCACTCAGCTACTGACTATCTAAGCCAGATTGTCAGTCTACAGAGTCAGAATATGAGAATAAACTTTAATCCAACCATGGTCGTGAGATACAGGGGGTTTTAATCAACTTCAAATGGAAAGAGAAGTCTCATTTAAGGATGTACAACACAGACAATTAAGTGGTCACAACAGGTTATACTTCAAATAATCTGCAGCTATTTCTCTGCAAAATGTTCATTCTTTTTACTCTGTCAATGAAGCAGACAAAAAGATGTTTAAATTCTTGTTTTTCTTTTTCTTTCTTTTTTTTTTTTGAAGATAGGGTCTTGGTGGGCCGGGGTTTAGCTCAGTAGTTCTGGCCCTGCCTCGAAAGCGCAAGGTTCTGAGTTCAACCCCCAATACCAAAAAAAAAAAAGATAGGGTCTTGGTATGTGACCTAGGATGGTCTTGAACTCCTGGGCTCAAGCAATACTTCTGCCTCAGCCTCCTGAGTAGCTAAGATTACAGGTATGTACTACCATACCCGAGGTCTTAAATTCTAATAATGAATTAAAGATTTCTTTCAGGTAAAAAAAAAAAAAAAAATAAACTTTTT